CGGTTGTGAAAAAATTTTTTCAACTATAACTGAAGTGTTTCATTATGTGGGTTAATTGGTATTATTTAACATACTATCATAATACTTAAGGGGACCCCCCCCATTCTCGGTTTTAAAAAATCGATTTTTTTTTTTTAATTTAATTCGAACTTGTAACTAATCAAGAATGTTCCCTGAAAATTTCAAGTAAAAATTTCAAAAACTCTTAAAGATATAGCCGATTTATGGTGGAAGCCTCAGGCGACGGCGAGAACCATCTCAAAACTTTAAACGCGTTTTTCTCGAAACAGTGTTTTTACGACTGGCGCATGAGGTTACTCAAAAACTATTAATCCAATCGGTTCCAAATTTTAACACGTTATTCTATACATATATAGCTCTCGTATGAACTAGGATAAATCGAATCGGTGAAGATCTTCCTTACTTTTCAACTCGATTTGTGGCTGAAAAAAATGGAAATTTCCAAAAAAAAAATTTCAAAGGTCCACCATTTTGTTAATTTTTGAGCGAAGCTAATAATCCTAGTTCATACGAGAGCCAAACATGTACTTTTTCTAATCCCGTTGGAATTTTTGGATTCAGATGTTCCAGTGAGCGGAAATCACATGCGCCGCCGAAAAGAAGGGCTTTTCTTTGATCACAAAAAACAACAACAAAAACAAAACAAAAAAAAATTCTGTGAAATGATTTTCTTCCTTTTTGTGTCTTAATATATGTAAGCACAGTTACAACCCTAAAAAATAATTTATGTTCATTTGCCAGCCCATTGAAAATCGTCAAAATTTAAAATCGAGAATGGGGGGGAGTCCCCTTAAGCATATTATTTGGTTTCAAATAAATGCCATAACTTCTTATTATACCCTTGCAGAGGGTATTATTTTTTTGTCCAAAAGTGTGCATCGCAGTGAAGGAGACATCTCCGACCTTATAAAGTATATATATTAGGGCGGGTCAATTTTTTCCTGTCCAAAAAATCCTGCAAATCGTCCCCCATAATTGGAATCTACGAAGAATTCTAAGAAAATTTCACCATGAAACCATGTGTATAAAATGAATTTCTAGCTCGCGCCGTGAAGCTTAAAGATTTCACATATTTATACCCTTGCAGAGGGTATTATAATTTTGGTCAAAAGTGTGCAACGCAGTGAAGGAGACATCTCAGACCCTATAAAGTATATATATTCTTGATCAGGATCACCTTCTGAGTTGATATGAGCATGTCCGTCTGTCCGTCTGTCCGTCTGTCCGTCTGTCCGTCTGTCCGTCTGTCCGTCTGTCTGTCCGTCTGTCTGTTTCTACGCAAACTAGTCTCTCAGTTTTAAAGCTATCGTCTTGAAACTTTGCACACACCCTTCTTTCCTTTGCACGCAGTATATAAGTCGGAACGGCCCGGATCGGCCGACTATATCCTATAGCTGCCATATAACTGATTGATCGGAAATGGTATAACTTTGGTGTTTTTAGAGTTAGAGAGTTCAAATTTGACATGTGAGCTATTTTTGGCAAAACATTACGTCATGCCAAATTTCATAAGGATCGGCCGACTATATCCTATAGCTGCCATATAACTGAACGATCGGAAATGACCCAACTTTCGTGTTTTTGAAGATAGAAAGCTGGAACTTAGTACAGATTTAATTCTTGGTCAGTTGATCCAACCTACCAAATTTCATTAGGATCGGCCGACTATATCCCATAGCTGCCATATAACTGAACGATCGGAAATGGTATTTGGTAGAAATATCAACTTTCGTATTTTTGAAGATAGAAGTTTGGGACTTTTTTTAGATTTTGTATTGTAATAAATTGGATTATATATTCCTATTCCCATAAGGATCGGCCAACTATATCCGATGTTTGCGATATATATCCGGTTTTAACTGCAAGGGTATATAAACTTCGGCTCCGCCCGAAGTTAGCTTTCCTTTCTTGTTTTCACATAAGGTATTTCGAGGTATTTAAAGCATTTTAATGTATTTTAATGTATTTAAAAAAAAACCTACGCATTTTCCAATTATGTTGGAGTCAATTCTGATTCATCTTTTTACAACAAATTTTATAATTTTTTTTTTAAACTTATTTAACTTATAATTTATTTTTAATTTCTAAAAAAAGAGTCAAACTAGCCATGTACTTAGCCTCATATAAGAAAGTTGGATCAATGCGTCTGTAACTTTTTAACGAAGTACGGTATCGATCTGAAAAATTAAATATATATTCAAAGGCATTTTAAGCAACTAAATAAAAGTAGGCGTGGCATGATAAAAGGCGGAATTTAATTTAATTTTTTATTATAAAGTCTATATATTGCAAAGAAATATATTATTACATAAAGAAGCTTTCTAATGATAAGGTTAAGAAATATAATAATATTAAAGATTTTGTGTTATTAAAGATTTTGTGTTATGAAAGAGGAAAGTTATTCCTCTTTCGAAAATAGCTATCTACCAACCAACACTGGAATTGAAAATGGAATAATTCGAAAATTTGAACTTTTATTGAATAGACCATTACATTGGTTTGTTGCATTTTAACGAACTTCCATTTCGCCATTTGTTCAATGCCTTGGAAAATGCAACTACAAAAGGACCACGTACAGCTAGTGGGACTTTGATGAAGTTACTTGAGACCTGTGAACAACTTCCGGTAATAGCAAAATTTTAATAGAGCCTTTTCAAATTAAAAAAAAACATTTTGTTTTAGGCCATACCTGATTTTGAACCCATTTCATTGGGGAACATGCCTCGAGCAATGGATAATAGAGATGAGTTTATATACCGATATTTGTATTTTAATGTAAAATTTTTAATTCGGTGGTAAACTTTTATTTAATTTTAATCAATCAACGCAATTTTTACCACAAAATCTGAGGGAAATTGTAAACAAAACAATCCAAAACAATGAATTCTTCGCCCTTACAGAAAATATTTTGTTAACAATGCTTTTCGATGAAAGAAAAACATTTCGCAAAAGTGCAATAAATAAAATAATGTATTATCGCGAGAAATTATATGACCCGATTGCACCGATTTTATACATTTAGTTGACTTGGATAATGATGACATCTTATTTGAACCTCCATTTACTGCAAACATCCCACACGATCACTTGTTGGAATACATCAATTCTGCTGAAATACCACTGCCACATCCAGCAATTCCATCGCACATACAGGGCACCGAACGATGTGTGCAGTTGTTAACACATGTCTCACGACGAGTTATGCCACAGAATCGAGATGCTGTTACGTCATTGACTTTAAAAAGTCGTTCCAAAGTTCCTCAAATGGAGTCAAAGAAAGACTTCAGATTCTAATAAGATGACGTTATATTCCAAGTCAACAAAATGCAAAAATTACCTACTTGTTGGAAAGCAAATAAACTTTATAATAAAAAATTAAATTAAATTCCGCCTTTTATCATGCCACGCCTACTTTTATTTAGTTGCTTAAAATGCCTTTGAATATATATTTAATTTTTCAGATCGATACCGTACTTCGTTAAAAAGTTACAGACGCATTGATCCAACTTTCTTATATGAGGCTAAGTACATGGCTAGTTTGACTCTTTTTTTAGAAATTAAAAATAAATTATAAGTTAAATAAGTTTAAAAACAAAATTATAAAATTTGTTGTAAAAAGATGAATCAGAATTGACTCCAACATAATTGGAAAATGCGTATGTTTTTTTAAATACATTAAAATGTCTTAAATACCTCGAAATACCTTATGTGAAAAATATGTGAAATCTTTAAGCTTCACGGCGCGAGCTAGGAATTCATTTTAGACACGTTTCATGATGAAATTTTCTTAGAATTCTTCGTAGATTCCGATTATGGGGGACGATTTTTGCGAAAACAAATTGACCCGCCCTAATATATATCCTTGATCAGGATCAGGAGTTTATATAAGCATGTTCGCGAATCCGTTTATCAATTTTTTACGCAAACTAGTTTCTCAGTTTTATAGAAATCGACTCTTAACTTTGCACACACCCACCTTTTCTTTGCACGCAGTATATATTATAAGTCTAAACGGCCAGGAACGGCCGACTACATCCTTTAGCTGCCATTTAACTAATTGATGGGAAATGCTATAACTCAGGTGTTTTTAGGGTAAGAGAGTCAAATTTTACATGAGAGCTACTTTTGGCAAAATAGTACGACATGCCAAATTTCGTAAGGGTCGGCCGATTATATCCTATAGCTGCCATATAACTAAACGATCGGAAATGACCAAACTTTCGTGTTTTTCAATATAGAAAGCTGGAACTTTGTACGGATTAAAATAATGCCGCTTGTCGTGCTGACCTCCTGATGGCCTCTCGGGATGAATTCCTTCCCCGTTGCCGATTGGATGCGTAGATTTCCTCCGCTTCATTTGCCAGTATATCAATTGGAATCATTCCGGCTAGAACGAGGGTGGCTTCCTCGGATATGGTTCTGAAGCCGTATATGACGCGTAGGGCCGCTAATCGGTACGATGCCCCTAGCTTTTTCTTAAGCCCCTGTTGTCTTCTGACTGACGCAGCCCATATCGGCGCTGCGTACAGCAAGACCGACGTGCCGACACTGGCTAAAAGAGGTCTTCTGCCTTTCTTTGGGCCTCCCACGTTTGGCAGCACCCTTGAGAGTGCTCCTTGGATCCTTGCAGCTTTTATGGTGGAGTACTCCACGTGCGCTCCGTAGGACATCCTGTTGTCCAGCATTACCCCTAAGTATTTAATTGCCTCCTTTGACGTGATGTAGCAGTTGCCCACCTGGATGGTAATGTACTCCACCTTCTTCCTGCTCGTGAAAAGAACTGCCTCCGTTTTATGTGCTGCTAGATCTAGTCCAAAGTCAGACATCCAGGTTGAAATTCTCCGTATTGCTTCATTCGCATTGGTTTCCACGTCCTTGGTTTCCTTCGCCTCCACGAGCAGCACCAGGTCGTCCGCGAAGCCGATGAGTTTACATCCCGTCGGTAGTTAGATCTTGAGTACTTTGTCGTACGTGATGTTTCAAAGACGCGGCCCGAGGACCGATCCTTGCGGCCCCCCCGCAGTCACCTCATAGGATTTTGGTCCTTCGTCCGTGTCGTACAGCAGTGTCCTCTGAAAGGTAGTTGGATAAAATTAGTTTTAGGTATCTAGGAGTGCCTGCCAAGAACAAGGCTCGTTGGATACGTGTCCAATTAGCCGAGTTCAAAGCGTAGCGGATGTCTAGTGTAACCATCGCGCGATACTTCTTTTCTCCCCATTTCCACCGAGTTCCCGCGATGGCTGCTTCCGCCGTGTCGGTTTGATGGCGGCTTTGATGGCGTCCACCGTGGAGCGCGCCTTCCGGAAACCGTACTGGCTTACCGAGAGCGTTCCTTTGGCCTCAGCGAATTTTGAGACGCGATAAACTATGGCCATCTCGAGGACTTTCCTTACTGTGTCTAAGAGACATATGGACCTGAATCCTGATACGACATATTGTTTCTTTGCCTTGCCTTGTTCTTTGTTTGTTGCCATGTTTCTTTTCGGCAACAGAATGAGGTTCTGCATCTTCCACTTTTTTGGAAAACTGAAGGCACTTGTTGAAGGTCTTAGCGAAGACCTCTGGTTTCTCCTGCATGGCCTGCCTCAGGACGGAATTTGGCACTCCGTCTGGTCCTGGAGTGTTTCTAACCTTAATCTTTTTTGCGTAGTTCCGGATCTCCTCCTCTGTAACTGGCGTAAACGGCTCCCCATCATCGGCTGGTATAGTCTCATTTTTTTGGCGGGTGCTTCGGGAACAGAGCCTCCACTATTTTCCTTAATAGGGTAGGGGATGTTTGTCTAAGGTGTTCTTTCCCTTTAATCCTTCTCATGATGACCTTGTTGGTTGTGCCCCATGGGTCCACCTTCGCCTTGTCGCAGATTTTTCTAAAGCACTCGCGTTTGCTGGCTTTTATAGACAGTTTCAAGGCCCTCTTAGCTGCCTTGAACTCCTCTGTACTGGTAGTTAGTTCCTCTGAGCCTCTTGCCCTTTGGAAGCATGCCCGCAGGCAGGCGGTCCTTAGTCGCTGAATGTTCAGGTTCCTCCAATATACTGATGCTCCTCTTCTGCTGGGTTTCCTCCTAGGCATGGCACTGTCGCAAGCATGTGCTAGTGCTCCTGAGAGTTCCTCCGCTGCTCCCTCCGGGGAGGATGATGAAGACCGGTCCAGCGTCTGCAGGGTTACTGAGAGTACTTCTCGATCCAAACGCGCGTCCTCCCATTTCGGTCATGTCACCTTGATCCGTTTCCTACTTACCCCTCCAAGGGTGAAGTGTATGGCCTGGTGGTCGCTGAAAGTAAAAGCATCACTGACCTCCCAGTTGCACCTTCTTATTAGTGCGCTGCTAACGAAGGTGATGTCGATGATTGATTCACGCTCTGTCTTACTGTACGCCAGCTTTTGGCCTCTATTGGCCAAAACCACGTCCAGTGCCGCGAAGTGTTTCAGGAGACTGGTACCCCTCTCGTTCGGTGCTCGGCTTCCCCACTCCGGGGACCAGGCGTTGAAGTCCCCTCCGATAACCACCGGCGTTCTGCCTCTTGCATCCGCAACCAAACTTCTTAACATCCTTAGGAAGCGCGAGATTTCCCATCTTGGCGGGGCGTAGCAGCTGTAAAATGTAACCCCCTTTATTTTTGCCCGGACAAAACCTTCGCTGGATGTCCTTATGTCCTGGGGAGCCGTCTCCGTTGACCACAGAGCCGCTCCCTTGCAGCTGCTTGCCAGCCATCCGTTTCCTGGGATGCTCCTATATGGTTCCGAGATGAGGACTTCCTGTGTCTGACGTCTCTGACCGCCTGCTTAAGCAGCGACTGAGCCGCCCCGCAATGGTTAAGGTTGAGCTGGGTGCACTTAATTAGCTTTTCCTTTGTGAGGGGGCGCTCCTGAACATCGGACATTTCCCACTTCCTGCTATGTGTCCTGCTTCCTTCCCGGCGTGGCTGCAGAACGCACACTTAGGTTCTTCCGCGCAGTCTTTTGCCATATGGCCGTCCTTGCCACACCTCCTGCACATTCGTGAGCGGTCGATGGCGCTCTGACACTGTTTCGCCATGTGCCCAAACTCGAGGCATCTAAAGCACTTTATGACTCTGGTCCTTTCCCTGAGTCTGCACCGCACCCAGCCTACCTTTAACCAGCCTATCTTCGTTGCTTTACGGGCACACGCGGCAGGCAGTTATGGCTGTCTGCGTCTGGCCAAAAGCCTTCCTTAAAAGGATGTCGCTTACCGGCACCCCTGGAGATTCCACCTGCTTTCCGATTGCTTCAGAAACCTCCTCCTTTGTAGTGATCTCGTCCAGATCCCTACACTCGATTTCTATCTTGTGCGACAAGGAGCGCACTTCCACCTGGTTACCTACCGATTCCGAGACCAGGGCTTTGAAAGCTGCTGTTCCCTCCCCTGACTTCTTCAGTTGGAGCAGTAGCTCACCTTTCTGGGTCCTCCTAATCCTCGATACGGCTTCGCCTAGTCCTTGCAGCTTCTTGTCCTGCTTCACCCGTCGCAGGATGTCGGCGTCCGGCCTTGGCTTCTCCTTGGGAATTGAGCTTGTTGCCCGCTGCTTCTTCGGCAGTTTCTTTTTGGGGCCAACCAGCTTCCATTCCTGGGCATCCTTGCTCGCCTGAGTTACAGGTTCCACGGTCTGCCCTAGTGCCATGGCTTCCTCCCTCGTTCGAGTCGCCGCCTGCGAAGTCTTCCTCTTACTCCTCTTGTTGTTGGGGGGGTCTGGGCCTGTTCCCTTCCTTCTGGGTTCCGCTACCGGTCGAAAAAGGGGCAATGTTTGTGACAGCTTGCTGCTGGGTGATCTTGAAATTTTGAAGCTTTTCGCGAAATCCGCCTCTCCAACTGAATTCTGTGATGTGATATTACTCATTTTAGTGGGTCTCAACTCCTGAGCCGTTGTCCTTAGGTGTTGTGCAGTCGCGTGAGCCCATGGTTACCTTTCCGCGCAGGGACGGGGTGTAGAGTTCGGAGCCAGATCCGCGTTGGTCAGGTATGGTTCATCTGAGCCAGCACGGTCAGCTTAGTGGCGACACCTAAGGAGCGTTTTCTGGAGACTTGCCAAATTTTAGCAGGACGGGGGCAGAAGCTGCATTTGCCTGGCAGCCATTTCGACGGGAGTTCACTCCGCGTACTCAGGTGCCAGAATACAGCTGTCCGTCAGCCCAGGGTTCGTCGTCTCAAGTTTCTTTATTCCAGTTGCCTATCCCAGGGCTTTACTGAACTCAGCCCTGGTCGCTTTCTCGCTATTTTGAAGGGGATGCCTTTCGGGTTATGAAGAAAGGTTGCGAGTACCTGCTTTCCTGCAGGGATATTCCCCTGCCCTAACAATCGCCTCTTACGACAAATTAGAGCTTGTTCCGGTCTTGGCTCCCGCTGCCGGGCGCAAAGAGGTTAAAGGTTGGGAGGTTTTGGGATGGTTGGAAATATAAATATAAATAAAAACAAGAAAGAAAAGCTAACTTCGGGCGGAGCCGAAGTTGATATACCCTTGCGGTTAAAACCGGATATATATCGCAAACATCGGATATAGTTGGCCAATCCTTATAAGAATATGATAATATAACCCAATTTATTATAATATAAAATCAAAAAAAAGTCCCAAACTTCTATCTTCAAAAATACCAGTCTGCCAGATACCAGATACCAGATACCAGATATAGTCTGTCGATTCTTATGAAAATCTTATGAAGTTGGGTCGGAAATGAACGATCGGAAATGGTTTCGCTGTTTCGACCTTCTTCCGGCTCGAAATTATCACTGCTTCCGTCTTTTGTGGGGCGAGGTAAAGGGTCGCTGTTTCGACCTTCTTCCGGCTCAATATTAGCACTGCTTCCGTCTTTTGTGGGGCGAGGTGAAGGGCATCGGTAGCACCTCGGTTGACTCTGCCTCTCCCGAATCCGGCACACGGTTCATCCGATCCGATCCTTTGCTCGCAACTGCGGTTGCAATTCTGTGTGTCCCTGGATCTTGCACGGAGGCTCCTTAAGGGGTTATATTCAGTTGTACCGCGCAAAAAATGGAATTTCATCGATTTTTGTTTGACACCATAGAAAATATTTATGAAAAATGTTTTACCGACGTTGTTTAGTGTATGTTTTTGGGTACTAAATTAAAATTTTTCATAAAAAAATATAACAATCAAATTGTTATAGCCGAATTCCCGGATCGTCGTTTTTCGATGGTGTCTTGCGGTGGACATGATATCCCGAAAACGGTTCGTCTGAAATCCAAAATTCAAAAAAATTTAGTTAGTATATTGTTTTGTAAATCCCCGTAAACGAGAAATTTATAAAAATTTTGATTAAAAAAAAATGGCGACGGGTTTAGCCAAAATTAACTTTTTCAAGGTATAAGATTTTCAATTTTTATGCTTTAAAAAAGGAGTTTTCAAAAAAAGCTAGTCCGTGAACGAGCTATTTTCAATTTTTTTTTTAAAACTCCTTTTTTAAAGCATTAAGCATAGTACTGAGTTGACGAAAATCCGCTGTTGAAATTCTGATAGCGATTTTGCACTTACACAACAACCGAGCTAGTGTGACCAAAAAAATGAAGAAATAAGGTAATACTGAACAGCTGTTGTTTGTAAACAAAAAACAAATAAGCAAAAATGAATTCAAAACGATTTGTTGTTTTTGTTTATGTATTTCGCCGCTAAGGAGCTGATTAAGAAAAAGAAAACTGGGTAAAAATCAAAATCAATTACAAATCATTTCAATGCCATTTTATGGAATTAAAATGCCCCTTGTGGGTCAAATCCCATACTATGGGTTCGCCTTGACCGCAGAAATTAATTTTAATTTGTCCTGGCGCGTCGAAAATTTTTCGGGCCGACTATTTTTTTGTTTCATCAATTTTCCCTCCATGTCACACCTATAAAAATAAATTGAATATTTCTTTTAACTCCCCAAAAGCAGCTGTTTATTTTTTTTGGAGTTTGACAGCTGTCACTCGTTGGACAGCGGATTTTCGTCAACTCAGTACTATGCTTAAAAATCGAAAATCTTATACCTTAAAAAAGTTAATTTTGGCTAAACCCGTCGCCATTTTTTTTTTAATCAAAATTTTTAAAAATCCCTCGTTTACGGACTAGACAATACAATATACTAACTAAATTTTTTTTGAATTTTGGATTTCAGACGAACCGTTTTCGGGATATCATGTCCACCGCAAGACACCATCGAAAAACGACGATCCGGGAATTCGGCTATAAAATTTTGATTATGTAATATTTTTTTATGAAAAAATTTTTTTTTATAAAAAAAAAAAGTGCTCAACATTTTGATGGGATTTTTAGTGTCTTAGTAATCGTGTCCACCGCAAAGGTAATTTCGAAAAAACAAGATTCTAAAATAATCGCGTTTAAAGTTTCACGTTTGTTCGAGTTTTATGTGCAGGTAGTGCGCTATAAATAGCTACAACTTCGGTTCTAATGCTCTGATCGTTATGAATTTTTGTGAGAGTATTCTCAACAGTATATACTTAAAGAATATGCAATTGATCTTTCACAACTGTATATAACCCCTTAACGTGACCGACTTCCCATCCACTTCGAACTGCTCGGCCAGAGCAAGCCGAATGTCCCCTTCCGTCGCTAGCGGGTCGAGGTCCCTTATCTCTAGATACTTCATCTTGCTGTCCTCGGACAGCGCTTGCACTTCAGCAGCTCCTTGTGGCACCTTTTCGAGGTTCTCCCTCATGGCGTCCGTGCTATCCACACGGTTTTTCGACAGCTCGAGCAGAAGGTTCCCAGTTGCGGTGCAGCGCACCTTGTGGACATTTTGGCTGAATTCCTTCAGCTGGCCGTTCTGCCGTCTAGTGACCAAGGCAAGCACCTCGCTATACTTCCTTCCCTTGGCTTCCACGACTAGCGGTCGGGTCGGGTGGACGTCCTTGGCTTCCTCCGTATTGCTGTCTCCCATCCTGTTCCTGGCGCTGCGGTCTGTGCGGCCGTGCTCTGGCCTTCTACTCCCGCGGTCCTGGCGTCCGAGTGGCTTGAAGTCCGCTGGGTGGGCCCTTCTCGTGCCCGGATTTTCGGGGCCTTCGCCAAGGCCAGTGGCGCGTCTCTTGGTAGAGGATCCGCGCTGTCCTGGCTAAGCCGTCGCCACGGATCAGTCTAGACTGTCGCTTCCTTGCGTCGCGTTGAGAGAGTTTGCGTTCTTTGGTCCGTCTTGGCAGTATCTGCCTGACCGCACCTCGAACAGACGACCTCCGCCGCTGCCGCCGTCGTCCCTGCATCGATGGGGTTAGAAAGGATCCCGCTAAGGCCTTCCTGCTGTTCCTTCATCCTGCAGAACATCCTCTTCATTTTGAGATTGATGCTCCTCACTTGTTTTTCATGAGTTTGCTGGATAATGTCCTCCAGTATCGCCTTTAACTCCGCCAGCATGCTGGAGCAAGGCTGCTCGGTTGTCGCTCTCGTCCTCTTGGCTGGAATCAATCTCTGGGGTTCCGATGGACTAGTTTGTTCCCTCGTCCTTTTTGGGGTTTCCTTATCTTCACCCGCGGGAACACCGCCTGTTGGCATCGCTGTGCTCCGCGTTGCCTGCAGAATGGGTGACCGCAG